TATTTTGATTGAAATCACAAATAAACTGCATCTCTACTTAAGCGCATGATCATTCCATATTGGAGTTTGCATTTCTAATATGGTAGGATGAAATACCCAGTGCAATATCGCGAAATTATGGCACGCTGTAACTTATGGCGTTACAGTGACAGATGTATAATACCGGTAATGGTCAATCATGCAAAGTAATGAATGCTCTTATCATTCAAAACTAACACTGTTCATGCCTCTTTATTTCAGTGTCAAGATTACAACGTCGATTTATCCAGTTGCTTCAATATGCCGTGATGATCAGATCAGTGATTGGTTTGACAGCTTAGCCGAATGTCTGCATTGGAACGTCAGACATCGGCAAGGAGTGAGAAGACAGAAAACAAAGGACATTGCTGAAAAATAACTGCATTTACTAATATGGAAAATTGGTGGGTCATATAAGAAATATCCAGAACCAAATATGGACATATTTTGTGCATAATATGAAAAAACTGGTGGCCTGAAAATTTCCTGGACTAAATATGGCAACACTTCTTTTTTTTAACAAGACATAAGGGGTATGAATTTATAACCGAATTTACTATATGGAAAAATGGTGGATAATCAGGTGTCACATACTAATGACCAAATATGGACACTCTAAATATGGTCTGCACTATTTCAAATAAGGTGAAGGCCAAGTTTTTAAATTTCATAAATGACATTTTCTGATTTTAAAACAATCATTTTTTGTGGCCGAAAAATCTTTTTTCAAAACTTTTATTTATGTATATACAAATATATTTTGAAACATTGGACAAACTTTGAAATGTCACTTGAAAGATAATATTTTCATGTTTCATTTTCAACGTCATGCTTCTACGAGATGAGAAAAAAACTGTTACACGTAATTTTATTTTATTTTATTTTATTTAAAAAAAAAAAAAAAAAAATAGAACTATACAAAATGCATAGTAGACAGAACGGCCACACAATCATTATTTAGGGGATGAAAAACATGTACGTGAATGATATAGTGGAATTGGTTATTTGGCAAATGGCCACTGCATAATTAACTGAAAGTTGGTACATCTTTTTAGTGCCCCTACAGTGGTAGTTGCTAGTATTTCTTTTGTTTTTATACAAGTAAATTTTACTTTCCGAAAAGTTTTACACGGAATAATTGAATTTTCTTGCAGTGAGCAAACATTTTTTTAACAATACTATTTAATACACATTTATTATAATTTCCAGAACTTATATATGCGTTTTGTATCGAGGGTTTCTTTGAAGGATGTGGTAAATTACTTGTGAACCATAATTAACACAATGCTAAGATTATTTCATTAACTTTGAGCAATATTGTATTTTCAATAATGTGCAAAATATTTTATTTTTACCGTAATTTCTTCATTATCAGAGGCATATCTCAATATAGATGCACATAAAAGTGCCCATATATATATGTTATTATTGTTAATATTTGCATGATTTTAATAACTTTGTAGTGTCCATACACATATCAAAAGGCATCGCAATCGTCATGTACGTAAGCAAAACCGTTGTGACGCTTGAACAAAATTGCATAGCAATTGTTGCATTCTAATGAATTACTTAAGTTATATATAAATAAAAACATGTTTCAATATTACTGTGTGGTTCAATGAATAATTCAGATTTTCCTCTCTCATCTCAAGAAAAATGTTAAATTCATTCTGTATCAAATGTTATTGCATTTACACAATTGATATCTAAAAGTTCTTCGTGTACACAGTCTGTACCTTGTCACTGGAATCATTTTTCCATAAAACTTATGGTACATAGAGAATACCTTTGTTGGCATAAATTCCAGTTTTTTTTGTTTTGTTTTTTTCACAAACGCTGGAATCACATCAGATTTGGATGAATATTTGTAGGAATATATATATCAACTTATGCCTCACGAACTGTAACACTCGAATCAGCAATTAACGCACGACATATGTAGCCAATGAGAAATTTGGCCCAAAATTAACTATACCATTTGTTATGTTCAAAGGATTGATTTGGAACGCTTGTATTTTGTACAGATTCATAACACTATTAAATTGTCTAGTGGCATCAAATCCAGAGTTATTGGGGAACCAGAATTGTAAGAGTATATATGAAATGGTAGGCGTGTGCACATATCTTTTGCTGAGCATGCCGTTGCTGGCTTGTTAGATTGTGTAGGCTTTGAATACGAACACAACAATCAGCATAAACATAAATTGCAATTGACTTCACTGTGATGACGTATTGGTTGTGGAAAAAGGGACCAAACATGCGCAAACAATGAACTTTAATGAGGTTATGACGTATTGATATATCACGAATATTATATGAAACGCCGGAATCATGTGTATTCGGTCTTGACTCCCCCACTCTGTCTATTGTGGTAATTTGAAGACTATAAACTGGTCACCAAATTTAACAACCATTTCTGGCCTTTACACTGTATACAGCGCCAACAGTGACTGTTCTCAGTTCCATGCGTCTAGATTGCAATTTACGGGAAAAACTACCAATTATTAATATTTAAAACCTAATACAAGGGATTACGAGAATACCACAAAGTATACATGAATTCTTATATCAACCAATGAGTAACTGAGTGTGCTGTATGAATGCTTATATCAACCAATGAGTAACTGAGTGTGCTGTATGAATGCTTATATCAACCAATGAGTAACTGAGTGTGCTGTATGAATGCTTATATCAACCAATGAGTGTGCTGTATGAATGCTTATATCAATCAATGAGTAACTGAATGTGCTGTATGAATGCTTATATCAACCAATGAGTAACTGAATGTGCTGTATGAATGCTTATATCAACCAATGAGTAACTGAGTGTGCTGTATGAATGCTTATATCAACCAATGAGTAACTGAGTGTGCTGTATGAATGCTTATATCAACCAATGAGTAACTGAGTGTGCTGTATGAATGCTTATATCAACCAATGAGTGTGCTGTATGAATGCTTATATCAATCAATGAGTAACTGAATGTGCTGTATGAATGCTTATATCAATCAATGAGTAACTGAATGTGCTGTATGAATGCTTATATCAACCAATGAGTAACTGAGTGTGCTGTATGAATGCTTATATCAACCAATGAGTAACTGAGTGTGCTGTATGAATGCTTATATCAACCAATGAGTAACTGAGTGTGCTGTATGAATGCTTATATCAACCAATGAGTAACTGAGTGTGCTGTATGAATGCTTATATCAACCAATGAGTGTGCTGTATGAATGCTTATATCAATCAATGAGTAACTGAATGTGCTGTATGAATGCTTATATCAACCAATGAGTAACTGAGTGCTGTATGAATGCTTATATCAACCAATGAGTAACTGAGTGTGCTGTATGAATGCTTATATCAACCAATGAGTGTGCTGTATGAATGCTTGTATCAACCAATGAGTAACTGAGTGTGCTGTATGAATGCTTGTATTTAGTGATGGGCTACCATTACACACATTTTAAAAACTAATGAATTGTAGTTTCAGCAATTATACAAGATGTAGCTTTGGCAGCAATATTTGACATGATGGGCTTCCATATTATACAGTCAATCTTGCCACTATGCTGTATTTTACTTAATATTCAATTTATCAATCACGACTGTATTATTGACAAATTTTTTTTCAGTGGGGTTCCTTACATCTGAATTTGATGTCTTCATACACACAATTAAATTGTACCATATTTCTATTATTAACACAATAACAAATGCGTCTAAAGTTGTAATTTAATGATCAATTAATTTCAGATTTTATTTCACTTTCTACATGATAAATGTTTCCAGAAAAAACTTGTGCAATGACTGCAAGGCAATCTGATATACAAAGACACTTTATTTCAGTTGTAAAGTGAGGTCCCCATGTCTATGTAAGTGATACAGGGTCATGTCTGTAATTGTAGTTTACAAAAACAAAGGAATAAAATATTTTCTATGAAAAAATAATTTAAAGTACCGGTATTCATTTTTTTTTTTTTTACAATAATGCTATATTTTAATTATTCTATAGTTATTGATCAATACAGTGAGTAGAAAATAAACGTTGACAATTAGTATTTTCAGCGGATCAAGAAGATAGTATAAAAAAACATTTCTGCATACCGATAATTGGAAATGTTTGACTGTTGCTGTGACTGAAAGCATAAAAAAATGCTTGACAAAGACTTTGCAGTTTTTTTTTGCTTGCTGCAAGAAGCAATAGTAAAGTAAACTCCATGAATTAAATGCACACAGAACTGAATTTCTGCTCTTCATGTTATCACAAGTTTTATGTGTTTTTTTTAAAGCTGAAGCAGATACATGTACATTAAACATTAGACCATAATTTCCCACTTCTCGTTTTGGCACGGCGAACTTTGGTGGTGGTAGTCTTTTCTTCCACCAGCGGTTCATCTAACAAACTTTTGGATGACGCAATTCGAATACTTCTTCTAGTTTTTCGCTTGTTTGCATTAGATGCAAGTTCTGACACAACAGGTGATATGAAGTTAATAGGACTATCAGAGGGAGGCTGTAAAGACAGTCTTGAGGATTTTCGTGTTCTGAAATTCAAACAGAAAGTTAGTTTATGATGTATGGGATGGGATAGCGGAAAGCCCTTCCTTGCAGATCTAAAAGTTTTCAAGTACCTTATAAACATATTGCCAAGGGCATCAAGAAATTTGTTTTCATTGTCTGTGAATGTATTAGGTAATGAAAAATGGTATAAGAAGTTATTCAGTTTTATCTTTTCACTACCAGTTCCCTCTTTTCATCTCAAATTCACAAAATAGTCCCGTTTATAGTTTACACTTTCCTTCAGAAGATTGGGACAAAAATAGCCAAATTTGTTTAGTAACAATTTAATATTGAAGAATATAAGAAAAAAGTGCTCCCAAATTGACATCAAAAATAATAACAGGTTCTCTTGCCAGTGGATGCATGGGCTTTGATGCCTTTCTTATGAATGCCAGCTTTATCAATTTTAGCTTTGAAAATTGGTGTCTTCTCAACTGTTCAAGGCCAAGTTGGTGATAACCACTTGACCACCTAGGTTTTAAAAAGTTATATCTATAAGTAAACGAATGAATTAGGCTTTGGGTGCCCAATAGAGTTTGAGGCACACTCACCCAGGATAAGTGGTTGAGTAAAAATCAAATTTTGGGAATGTTTGATCATATGCTCAAAGCAGCAGAAGATGAAGGTGTTATGCTCGTACATACCGTGTAACTCTTCTTGAAGCTGATGATGACTTTCCTTCTTTCATTTCTGCTGAGAGGAATGGAAGCCCTGGTGATGAACCGTCCCCAGCACCGCTACTTTCTGGAGTATCCAACCTCTGTTTACGTCGGAGTTGAGAGCGTGTTAACGGCGGCGAAAACACAAACCGTGGCGTAGAGGATGTGCCTGACGTTGGAGTGGCAGCTACTAAAAAGGGAGACACAGAAAGGGTACAGTATTGAAATGATAGATGCTAATGTACTAACAATTAATCTAACTTACAAAAAGTAAATGAAAGGTACTTCAATCGTATTTACATCAATATGTAGCAATAAAAAAAATCTTCAAGAAAAGCATTGGAAGGTGCTGAAAAATAACAAGTCATTGAAAATGACACAGTCCCCGTTAAGTTCTCTTTGTGCTCGTCATATTAAAGCGGAGGGTTTGTCACGAGCTTGTCCTTGAAACTTGAGTTCCAAATGGCGTATACAACAGGTTGTTTATCTACATCAAAACACGTGTTTCATGCCATAGTAATATGGCCAAAATAAAAACAGCAGTTATTCAGCCATCTTTGATCTGATTATGAAACACACTGATATGTATGATGTATTTGCCAAATACGAATGAAAATGGTACATAAATTGTGGAAATATAGTAGTAAGGCCAAAAAGTCAATCGACCATCCTTTGAAACAAATTGTCATGGACATGCATCCTAACATGTATAAAGTACATGTATGTGCCAAATTTGAATGAAAACAAACAGAGCACGTCCAAGATACCGCCTAAAAAAACAAAAACAAGATGCCTGCCAGTCGACCATCTTTGATCCAATTGCGAAATAAATCGTCATGGACATGTATTCTAACATGTATAATCTATGTACCAAGTTTGAATGAAAACTGACAAAGCATGTCCAAAATACAACATTTTCAAAAAACAAGATGGCTGCCAGTCGGCCATTTTTAATCGAATCGCTAAACCACTGCATGTGCATATGTCCCACATAAGGTACAAGACGCATGCAAAGATTGAACGGAATCGGTCCACAGGATCCTGAATATGACGTTGGATAGACTGACGCACGGACACACGGACGGACAGACTCAGGAACTCACGGACGGTCGGGGACATGTATCCTAACATGTATGATCTATGTACTAAATTTGAATGAAAACTGACAAAGCATGTCCAAAATACAACATTTTCAAAAAACAAGATGGCTGCCAGTCGGCCATCTTTGATCCAATTGTGAAATAAATCATCATGGACATGTATCCTAACATGTATAATCTATATACCAAGTTTGAATGAAAACTGACAAAGCATGTCCAAAATACAACATTTTCAAAAAACAAGATGGCTGCCAGTCGGCCATTTTGAATCGAATCGCTAAACCACTGCATATGCATATGTCCCACATAAAGTACTCGGCACATGCAAAGAATGAACGAAATCGGTCCAAGGGATTCTGAGATATGACTCCGGACGGACGCACGGACACATGGACGGACGGACGGAGACCGAATTACAAGTCCCCGTTTTCGGACTTCGTCCGAACGGGGACTAATAAATGAGCAAAAAATGTCTATAAAAGGGTTAATATATTTCACAAATTAATAAACTAATCTAATTACTGTGTTATGAGAACTTTGTTAGTCTGTTTTAACTTTAGTTACATGTATGAGCCTTCACTTGTTATGTTGTGTCTCAAAACCAAATGCATGCTGGGATACAATTTGTTAACTCTCATAAAACAAGTGTGAACAGTTCAGGAACTGAGCATGAGTATATGTCTAGTAAAGAAATACTCAAACACAGAAATAATTATATTATACAAGAATTCTGCTGCTTAATCCTGCATCATATTTTCTCTTTCCAAAATTTTGCCTATTTTTATTTAGAACTAAAAAAATTGGAACAAAATCTAGAAAGATGTCGCTCGTTGACTATGTCACTAATAGGGCAATCTGCTAGGCAAACAAATCCATCTGTTTTTTTTCAATTATATTTACTTTTAATGTACTATACTACTATTTACTTCATTGGAACATGTTAAGTAACACATAGGGACTGGTTTGGAATTTCCTCAATATAAGTAAAATGTATTATACCAAAAAAACCTTATTTTACATTTCATATTTTTTGTCGCATTCGAGAAAAGTTTGGACTTGTACCTGAATCTTCATTTTTGGACAGAGTCAAAGGTTCGGAGAATGTGTATGCCATTTCTTCCACATCATCCTCTGTTTTAGACTCTTCTCCTGTCTCATCTTCTGTTGTTTGCATGACACTTGCATCATCAGTGGTAGTTTCCATGACAGTATCTGTATCTGTTGAAGCAGGATCTGGTGTTTCTGAGACAGATGTCTCAGGTTCTGACACCCAAGGTGCTGTTTCTGACACTGATGCAGCCGTTTCTGATACTTCAGGTATTGTCACTTCCACTTCAGGCACACTACTATCTGGCGCTTTTTCTGTGCCATCGGGAAGTTTTCTCCTTCTAATTCTTCTCTCAGATCGTAGAGAAGCTCTGAAAGCGTCTGCATAGGAAGGAGTTCCCATTCTATGTGGCTGTCTGAGAGATAAGCCAGGTGTGGTTTGAACACCCATCTCAAAAACCGTGGCTTGGATCTTTGGGGGTGGCCTTTTGGGCGTTGTCATCATAGCTGGGACATCACCAGCTTCAGGTGATACTGGAAGCTCTTGTGGTTGCAGAACTGGTGTTTTTTCTGGTAAGACTGTAAGTGTTTCATCTGTAGTTGCATAACGTTGTTCAGCATCTACCTCAGTTGTTCCATCATCTTCAACTTTCCCAGGTCTAGTTTCAATCAGTTCCTCTGGCACTGTGACTTCAGTTTGGTCTGTGCCTTCACTCTCTACTTCCACTACATCTTGTGAAATTTCAGTGTCTGCTTCAGGTCTAGTTTCTTGCTTTTCAAACTGTACTGCCACTGCTTCAGAAACAGGTTCCTCTGCCCTTAGCAAGTCTTGTTGTTCCATCACAAAGTCCTCTTTCTGTGTTTTTTCATCAGTCGTACTCTTCTCTTCTACTTTCCTTTCTTCTGGCACTTCTAGAATATCAGCATCTTCCTCAAATTTCTTTTCTTCATCTGTTTCCCTAGCAACCAGTGGTGGCAACTCTTCCTCCTCCTCCTCGTCAGACTCATCCAAAATCAACATCTCAGGGGAAGATTCTCTCTTTGGTGATGGAGCTCCAACATCTTGTGCTGGAATTGAGTCTTCCATCACCAACTCTATCGCTACATCTTCCTTGACAACATCTTCATCTTCATCTTCTGGGGAAACCTCTCTCACTTCATCTTCCAAGACTGCCACTTCATCTTCGTCTGCGTGAAGAACCTCTTCGACTTCAATGACATCTTCTTCTGTATCTTTTATTTCAGCAGCTGGCTGGTATTCTAAAAAAGATTGAAATTTTAAGTATGGATCAACTTGCATTTCATTAGTTTTCTACCACTAGACAGTCTACATGATAAGAGGTATAGCTACCTGTTGAAAAAGGAATTAGTACGGCAGGCAATATTTAGAAAATGGCATTTCAAAAAGCATGCAATATAGGTTTCTAACAAATAACAGAAGTTAAGAAACTAAACTAGCAATACACCTCCTCAAACGGGCATCAATCTCACCTTATTCAACCTTTTAATGTCACAATTATTCAGCTGCAACATTTTGTATGTTTCAAATATTGTGAAAATGAATTTGAAGGCAAAATGCCTCAAAGAATGAGACCATGTGTGAACTGATGAAAGGAGTTGCAAAGCAGTTTTGCTTCACTACACAATTTCCAAACATATCTTTCTTTCTTTTTTTACTTTATTGCAAAATGCTGGTGAAGTTATTACTGGTATGATGAAAAATATTCATTTGAAATCCTGACACATGAAGTAAATTTATACCTTGTGTTAACTCCTCTTCCATTTCCTCACTGTCATCCATTGTACGATGAGATGTATCACCACGGCGATGAAAAGATACCTCGTCATCGACCACCATAGAGTCATCTTGGCTCTCATCAAGTCTCAGCTCCAAGTCAGAGTTATCATTAAGTACAATATCAGCTTCTGTTGCCATGGCATCTGAATCATTCGCAATCTCAACTGATGGCATCACTGAATCTTCTGGGAGACTGAGACTGAACATAAGGAGCAAGATGTAGAAACAATTTATTAACACATACAGGTCGTAATCCTTGTTGGATTCTCTATAATCACTTGATTTTTGCTATAACAATGTTTTTTAATCAATTTAACCACTTGACAAGAAATTGCCATTTCCATATGCTATTAAATCAATTTGATGTTTCATTTTTTGTCTTCACATTTCTCATATTTTCTGTTTGAAATTACCTTTTAAACAATCTTCATTTATAAAAAAAATAATATAATTTTAAAATTTTATAACAGTTCTGCCACATATAAAAATGATAAATAGATCATTGGCCAATTATTTAATAATTTTTATCAAGACAGATAATTAAACCTTGTAGTCACAATACAAGCGAAATGAACTGAATATTAGTCCCTTGCAACGTATAGCAGTAACATACATTGTTTGTTTACATGGAATGTGGATTGGCGCTTCAAAAATCTGAGGGATAGTTACTGAGCAAATGCATTATGTTATGATTGTATAATTTGCATGTATGTAAATGTGTTGAGATGGGCGTAGTGCGAGT